TAGCTTCTTTTTTTGCATATGCATTTGGCAATACGCATAGCCGCCAAATAAAGCTAAGGTTGAGTAATTCTAGCTAACGTTTTATTTATAAACCGCTAGACAAATAAAATTTGCAAAAAAACAAATAAAAATATATTTATTATATTATATACATAATATATGAACGGCGCGCGGTGAACACGATTTAAATGTGACTATAAAAAACAGATTTGCACAAATTTAAATACACACACACATACACAAACACAGATACAAGCACATACACGCACGTATACTGGGGCAATATGATTTCAATTTTTACGATTCTTTTTCGTGTTTTTTCAACACTTAATTCCACTTACCATATGATATACATATGCATATAGTACTCAATATATATATTTGCCTACCCTTCTATCAATGTGTGCGTGCGAGTGTCTCGTATCCAGACCCGCACAAAAGAAATGACGAATCTGTGTTATATATCATCATTTTTGCCCAATTTTTGTTTTTTTTTTGCGGGCATCAAAAATTGACCGACAAACGTTCGCGTTGAACAAAGGAAATACCGAACGCTCCTTTTTGATACCCTGTAACAATATACCTTGTAGATTGGTCCTATCTAGAATTTCTTTTCTCTATCTCTCTTTTAGCTAATATCGAAAAAAACAAGAAGTCGCATTTCTCTTCTCTTCAAATATACAAATTGGTTTATTTATTAGTTTGTTTTTCGCTCTATCCAAATTTCACATAAAGTATGCCTGCTCCTTATTAAATTGTACAGAATATTTACTCCATAAATCCGTTGCCTGTCGTCACACAACCAGTTTTTTTGTTCCCCTCGTGTTCAACTGCATAAAATGTCATTTTTATTTTGGGATTTTTTGCTTTAATGAAATTTGTATTAAATTAAAAAAATTTGGTGCCCACATAAATTAAAAAATAATATAATGAAGATTAACTTGGCTGCGGCTAATTTTAGAAAGTCATTTACTCAGCACATTTCTGCTTAAATTTATTATGCTATTTAATAATATTGTTGATTGTACAATTTTGAGTCAAAATACTAAAATGGCAGCACAGTTGCCCAACTTGTAGAATATGACTTACAGGGTATTTAAATGCCTATAATTTCAAATAACATTTTACGTATTTCTTTTGCTAATGTGGTTGCTTCTTTATTTCGGTTTGTGGACGCACTGAGTCAAGGTTAGGCGCATTTGTCATCATTTAAGTTTAATGCTAATGCTAATATTCTTCTTCTTGCTGTTGTTGTTGTTGTCGCTCATTTCTTTCAATTTGCGAAAAAATATTTGTTCTAAGTTGTAAACGCCATTAAATGCCACTTGGCAGTCAAGTGTTTTTCTCTCAGCCCGCATTCAAATCCGACCTCTTGCCCTGCCGCTGGCTAATTTCAGCTTCCTGTCTGTAGCTTTTTTTTTTAAAAGCGCACGTGTGAGAACGCAGTCAATTAAGTGAAATCACGATCAAATTATGATAAGAAACCTTTTTGTTTATTTTTTTCTCTTCTTTCGTTAAATGCAATTAAGCGCTTTTAATTGCAATTTAGCGCCAACTGCGCGAACCTGGCCAAACAGGTGGGCAACCGAAAATGGCGAAAACCATTGAAATTCAGCAAATTGACAGATTTTGATAAATATGCCACCGCCGCGGCAAACTGAGCTTGCAGCTTGCAGAGGGTGAAAGTCTTTTGGCCAAGACACAACAGCAATTTGTCAACAGCAGGCCATTTGAAGAAGACATTTGTGATTTGTTGTTGTTGTCGTTTTTGTTGTTGTTGGCCATGTTTAACCGAACGCAATGACACAATTTGTTAAGACCACTTTTCCACATGCCAAGCAACAGCAACAGCAGCATCTGCAACGGCAGCTGCAGCTTACGGCCGACAGCCTGACCTTGAGCCTGACACTCGCTCAGATACATTTGTATCTCAGTCTTGCAATTTGCATTTGTGTGTGTGCCGCCTCATTTCCAGTTGGCATTTTCTGCCTGCCTGGCCTCAGCCCCGCATCACATTGTGCCTTAATTATGTCTGTGCCACCGATTGCGGCCCTTCTCACCAGCAGCTGCTGCTGCATATGCGGCCGCATTTATTTTGGAAAAAAAAAACCAAATTGGTCGCATATTGGCGCGCCGCTGTGCACACTGTTGCCCAAAATGTTGTGCGCCCTTGGGGTGCTAGCAAAGCTTTGCCCTGTTCTGCCAGGAAGTATTGCACACCCCGTATCAGCAAGGCCGGCTGAGTTGTTCTGTCCAACTAACTGTTACCCTATCTTTATGCAATATAAACTATAACACTTTACCTATTTTCAGATATTTCAATTAGTTATTTTGAGCGGCAGTTGGCGATTTAGCTAGTGTATGGATTCGAACTCATAACCTGCACTGACATTATTATTAAAGTTGACTAAATTATTAAATGCATTAAAGACTTGAATGTATTGTCCCTCAAAATTGTTCATAAATATTCAACAATATTATTAAATAGCGTTTTAAATTAACACAGAAATGGCCTTAGTAAATGACATTCTATAATAAGCCGCAGCCACGTTAATTTTCATTATATTCTTTTTAAATTTCAATGAATGACATTTAATGCATTTGAAAAGCTTTGCGCTGGCTTCTGGATATCTCCAGTCGGGCATTACCGATTTCTTCGTTAGTTCTAGGAACGATTTTCAAACATATTAACCAGAGTCTGCAAATGTGTTTAATCTTAGTTAGTTGCTTTTGTTCACAATTAAAATTGTGAATGTGTTTAAAGCTGGTTCAAGTTAAATCGTACCTGGATATGTAAATCAGCATGACGCTGCACAAACGAAGCAGGCGAGTGTCAACCGATAATTACTGTTAATTACTATAGGCAATGATATATATAAATATATATATATAAATACATATATATAAATATGTTTATATGAAAAGTAACTCTAGCTGCAGCTGATGTAAATTGAGCATAAAGCACAATCATATAGATGCCACACTTTAATTTGAATCCCAAGCCCGGCTAAATTGTCAGCTGCAGGCGACCAATTTTAGGGGCCATGGAAATTAGTCAACTCTTGAATTATTCAAGTGCACCTCGCTGTAAATTGCAAATTGCTGACGGCGGCGGCGGCTGCCATTTTAGCTAGAGATACTTTTGCATCCATAAGATACTTCCACATCCAGATGCAGATGCGCTTGTGCAGTTGCACTTGTCTTGTCGATTAGTGTGAGCGCAACAATCAGTTTACCTATATCTGTATCTGTATCTCTATATGCATTACTGTTCATTGTTATGCGAGAGTTTTGCGGTCAAAGACGCTGCGGATTGGGCTTATCAGACGACTGCGGCTGCGACTGCGGCCGCGGCTGCTGCTGAGGAAGAGCGCGAGTTGCACTTAAATTGCAGCCACGAGACAGACGTCAATCAGTTTGCGTAGCTCAACTAATAAATGCCCACACACACACACACACAAACACACAGATACACATATTCGCACACACACATGGAGATAAAGATCAAACCCATTTAGTGTGCGCCTGGCTGAGTTAAGGGGTTGAGGTCGGGTGAGGCAGCTGCCTCCGACGTGGTCAAACTAACAAGCGGCTCGCTTTTAATCTCAATCTGTTGTAAGCGTGTAACAGTATGTGTATGTGCATGCGTGTGTGTGTGTGTATGTGTGCATGTGTGTGGGTAGCTGACTAGTTGAGCTTTTTAAGAGACAAATGCTGACAGGTGATTTACTTAATTAAGAGTTTGGGCCAGGCAATAGAGTGAAAGTCATGTGATAGATGGTTAAAGCCTGTCAAATTCAAGTGCTCAAATTAATAACAATAGTTAAAACCAAATATAATCGTTTAACTATATATAAATAGATAATTCATTTGCGTCATAGTTCACTGATAATTGAGAAAATCATGAATAGTTGAATGATAAGTGCGAACTTCATGTCTCGTTCTAAGAAAAACACATAGAAAACTTATATACCCTACAAACATTTGATGGAAAAGTGCTTTCTTTTGCTTTGTATTTTTTTTAGAGAGAGTTTTTGTTCGCTCGTGCGATCCCTAGCACATAATTTTTTATTGCCAAATTCCTTGCATGAATTCATGGAAGATTAAAATAATATAGTTGGACCCTTCTGAGACTCTGAACATCTGGTCTGGTTTATATAAATGAAAACCCAATTCCAAATAATGAAACATTATTATATTTATTCAATCTCTCGGGTTTTTACATTGATTAAAAATCAACGAATGTCATTTAAATTAAACAGAATTTATTAAAGTAAATATCTCTTTGGCTTCGATTACTGATAAGTAACTTTTTACAGGCCATCAACAATATTTTACTCAATGAATGCTTTATTATAGAACCCGAAATGAGTTCACATTTTCTTCCACTACTGAGACCCTCTTCTGGGCATTCCCCGAGAACTTATACATTTGATGAATACATAGTGCAAAGTTATTTTACACTATTTTTAAACTACTAGAATTTTACTTGAATTTTTTCCTTTTGTCGTGCTCATTCTGACGTATCTCTTCCTAGTTCTCAACACTGACTCACGAAATAATTTTCCGCAGTGCGTTCGCGTGTGTCAGGTGCTTGAGTTGTTGCTGATGTCACAGTCCACGCCAAAATTATCGTGTCGAACTTAAGAACTTATCAATAAAATGACAAAAAAAAAAAAACAAATATTAATTACCCGAGCGGAGATAACGACCAAGCTTAACCAACGGACAAGCGATAAAGAAATCTAAGCACGATAGCGACTATTGATAGATAGAGGGACATACAAGAGAGACAGAGAGTGAGAGAGAGAGGAGAGAGATATATTAGCAAATATGACGCAACCTGCGATTTTTTGTTAGCTCGCGATCAAAGCTCGTGGAATCAACTAGACACCTTTAGTTTCCATTGCATTGTCGTTGCCCAGAGGTACTCGGAACTGCGCCAACAGCCTGACTCCGTTTAACTAATTCGAGTTTGTTTTTTCTCGGTTCCTTTGCAGCTAAGCGCGAACCAAGCAATTAGATCTTCCCAACCCAGTCAGCCATGGAGCGCCGCATAAACTTGTTGCCCGCTTTGCTGGCCCTGTTGCTGTGCATTTGTGCAGCAGCAGCAGCAGCAGCCGTAGCTGGAACGCCCGCGTTTTACTGCCCCGAGGACTGCAGTTGTTCGCTGTCGCAGCACACGCACAAACCGCTGTTGCATGCCAAGTGCAACAGTACCAAAGGACTGAAGCTGTCGGAGCAGCCGCTGCGAGCTGGCGTGCCCATACATTCCATAGACTTGTCGTATTTGGGACTGACGCGTTTGGGCCATGTGCTGAACATGCTGCCCAACCTGACCTCCGTGGACTTGTCGCACAACGAACTGCACGAGTTGGGCCATTTGAGCAAGCGCATCAAGAAGCTGAACCTCAAGCACAATCGCTTGACCTCCGCCAAGCTGGTGAAGCTGCCGCAACATTTGCAGGTTCTCAATTTGCAGCACAACGATATCACGTCCCTGCCCATGGAGTTGACCCATCTGCAGCACTTGCAGCAGCTGGAGCTGGGCCACAATGCCATCAATTGCTCGTGCAGCACCTTGGAGGTGCGCAACTGGCTGCAGGAGCGTCACGTATACATGGAGAAGCCCGTCATCTGCAGCCAGCCCACGGAGGCGCATGGCAAGCCCTGGCTGCAGCTGAAGCAGTCCGAGGTCTGCGAAAAGGAGCAGCGCGGCTGGTATGCCTCGGACATAGACGAGAACGAGCTGATGATGGGTGATCAGCCCGTGCCCGATTCTATCGAGCAGGAGGACGAGGAACAGGAACTGGGCAAAGACTATCTGGTCATTGATGGCAAGAAGTCCGTGAAGGCACCAGAACCGCCACCGCTGCCGGTGCAGAGCGATGTGGAGGGATCGGGCGATCTAAACGAAATGAATATGGAACTGGTTGCCCACCAAGCATCGGAGCCGGTGCCCGTTATTGCAGAGGAGCCCAAGACAGAGCAATTAGTCGCCCACGACGAGGAAGACACCGACGAGGAGGGCTCGGGCAGCGGCGGCGGCGCCCTCATTATACCCGCCATCCATTCCGATCCCATTAACACAGATGACTTTGAGCCTCCAGAATCGCCCGGATCCGAACAGGTAAGCAACGAAAACGACGACGACGACAGCTACGACAACAAGCCGGTGGAGCAGCCGGCCACGCCTTCGGCGGACATTTTCAAGAACATCGGCATCTTCGAGGACGCCAGCGGCAAACCGGTCAGCGAGGAGGTCATTGTGCCGGTTGTGCAGACCAAGCTGGATGTGGGCGCGCCCACGGATGTGGTCACAGACGGACCGCTGGATCTGGACAAGACCTCCGAGGACATACTGTCGGCCAAAATAGGCAAAAAGGATGACAGCAATGCCATCTACTTCCTGCTGGGCGTCATTGCGCTCATTGTCCTGGGTCTGATACTCTTCGTGGCCATCAAACGCTGCAAGTACAACAACAATGCGGCGGCACGTGACGCCGAGGCGCAGCGCCAAACGGAACTGCTGGACATGGACAAGACCAATCTGGGTAAGCCGCTGGCACGCAACGGCCACGAGCACTCACCCTTGATAGGTGAGAAGACCAAGCTGGACGAGGCACAGATTGTGAACGGCAACGGCAAGAAGCCGTACGATAGCAAGGATGGGGCTGGGCAGCAGCCGCTGCTGAATGGCAACGGCACTGCCAACGGCGATGCCAAGGAGGTGCCCACCATCAATGAACCCGTCGCTGCTGGCGCTGATCCGGCGGCACCACATGAATACTATCCCATCACACCGCGTTATCCCACACCGCAGTCGCCGCGCGCCTCCAAGTACGCACAGCATCCACAGGGCCAGGCCGCCGGCGAGCAGAACAACAACAACAACAACAATAATAACAACAACAATGAACCGGATGGCGCCTACTTGCCCTCCTCACCCAAATCCGGCCGCTATTCGCCCGTCTATTCGCCAGAGACTGGACGCGTCAAGATCAAGCTAACGGAGACGCCCAAGCCGAAGACGCCCATGTTGGTAACGCGCAGCAAGTCGAATGCTGGGGATATTATAACCACGCCCTATTTGGAGCCCACACATCAGGTCAATGGCATTGCCGGCCACTGAGCTGACCCCTTGGAAAAACCCCTCCCCCCTTTAGCTGACCTGCAAGTGTCAGGCGTGAGAGACAAGTGCCAAGCGAAAACAACAACAACAACAACAACAAAAGCCTTTAACTGCGCTCAGAGTGTGTGGCAATCGATAATCGATAATCGATATACGATAGGCGATAACGGTGCTTTGCAATGAAGAGCAAACAACAACTATTCGTTTTAAGCTCCCGCATCCCCTCTTAAATATATGGTAACCGTTTTGTAGTTTTAGCATTAAGTAAATTAATTAATACTTAAGCATAAATCTAGTTTAATACCAAAGTTTAAAAATATCTTAAATGTAAATTTCCCAGCAGCTGCGAAATACAAAAAAAAAGATGATAATCAGAAATGGGCTGATGACGCTTTGCAACACTATTTTTCTACTACTGGCATATGCATGAGACACACACACACCCACACAAACACACGATTACTTACTATACAAACCTGTGCATGTATGTGCATATATATATATACACACATATATATATCAATTTATATATGTTCTTTATATATATTTTTATAATATTTAAGCTGCATTCTCTTGTGAAATTATATTGTGTTACTCTCTGTTCGTGTGAATGACTTTTCAATTCAAAATAAGCCTATCAATAAAAAGAAAAACTACAACATTTAAAAAGCTCAACAATTTGTTTAAACATTCAATAAAAAGCTCTCTCCATATTGGCTTATTCAGGTTTTAAACCCATGTTCACATTAAATGCAGCCACACTATTTTAGCCAATATTGTAGCAACTCAGCTGAGACAACAACCTTGCCACAGTTCACAATCATTGGCCGTAACAGTGCTGGCTGAAATAATGTGTCTGCTTCGAAATTCTGTTGTGTTCTGTAGACAATATTGTGTGACAATCCTTCCATAATATTAATTATATATATATATATATATATATATATATATATTTGCTGCTAGCATATCTTCTTTTGAAGAGTACTCTCTTACACTGCGGCCCAAAATATTGATACACATTATAGAAATATGTGTGTATGCAGTGTAAAAAGGAATCTGCATGAAGATCAAATTGATATTACTTAAGATGCGTTTTATGTTATGTGAAGTTTAAACAATCTTGCCACACTTGGTAGCCATTGCCTGTAACAGTCTTGGCTGAAATAAAATGTCTGCTTCGCATTTCTGTCATTTTTCCTTCCATAAGATTGAAAATTAATAATTATGAATATGCTAATGTATATGTATATATGTTAAAGAGTACTTCCTTACACTGCGTCTCAAAACATTGATACACGCTCTTGAAAAATGTGTGAATACAGCGTAAACAGCCATCTGTATTAAGTAGATCGATTGATTGATTTATTTACTTAGGATGCGTTTGTTATATGAAGTTTAAATAAGTCTTGACAGTTATATACAAACATATGATTTCGGCTTAGCAAATGAAAGGAATAAGTATTTGTGCATATGCTTTGTCGTTTTCAGTGCTTAAAATAGGGTCTCTCTCATGGGCTTGTGGACCTGGACATTACGTTCGCCATCGCTGGCGAAGCTAGACGAGCTGTCGCCGGCGGCGGCGGCAGCGCTGAAGTTGCCGCTGACCCGACGACTCGCCGAGTTCTTGCGCTTCTTGCGCTTGCCGCGCTCCAGGTCGAGCTCTGCACAGGAGGTGGACAGATTTGATCGGTTCTCGTCATCGGCAATGGAAGCGATATCCGCTACGACCAGCTCTTGAAAATCGCTGGCAATGGTGGACGTGGATGGCGCCCTCTTCTGTGCACTACTAAAGTAATCCTCTACAGCCGGATCCAGTTGAGTCGCCTGATTGGGCTCCAGCGTGTAAACCTGGGCGCTGACCTGCACGCTGGCTGGCAGCTTGGGCTTCCGTTTGGCAAAGGGGCTGCCCGGCTTGCTGGCGCCCAGATCCTCGTACTCGGGATCGGTGAGAAACTCCACACTGTCGGCCATCATGTTGATCCGCTTAAAGGGCGGTATCTCGGCTATCTTGGGCTTCCGCTTCGTATACGGACTGTTCTCATAGCTCTGAAAGTTGCCAATTTGCTCGGCGCTCTGCAGATTCTGTGTCTTTAAATGCGCGGCCGGAAAACGTGAGTCTTCAATGCTGAAGCGTCGACTGCCCGACTGCGTGCTGTACTCCATGTAGCCGGTGCGCCGATGCGGTCCGTATTGCGCCCGACGCTCCTTGTCGCGATTGGCGAGCATCTCCACGCTGCGGAATCGTTGACGTGTATCCAGCTGCAGCTCCTCGTCGTCGCCGGCAGACATTTCACCGTCTGGCTGGGTTTGGGAGCGGCGCAGTTGCTTGCGATTGCGCTCGGTGACGCTCAGATCCAACATGGACTTGACCGGCCGCTCCAGCTTGGGCATGCGGAGTGCATCCTCATACGAAGGCAACAAGCTGATTTCCTGCGCCTGCTGCAACGTGGTCGTCGATTCCTCACGCAGCATGCGCTCGTTGATGTCACGTCTGTGGATTAAGTGCATAAAAATGTTGCGCTTCGACCTTGCCTTTGGGCATAGAACTTACATACGTCGCAGCTCTTCGTGGTTTTCATCGTACTCCCTGCGATTCTGGCGCTGCTTGTGCTTACGCATCAACTTCTGGAAGCAGCCGTACAAAAGTGCCAACAGGCCCAGGCCCAGAATGCTGAGCATTATGGTCGACCAGACCTTCTCCCCGCTGCTGCTGCGCACGCTCACCGTCCAGTCGGACATGCAGGCATAATCCCATAGGTTGCCATAGTACATCGCAGGCGAGGCACAACGCAACTGGTGACGATCCCTGAGCTGCAGAGAGAAACGGATGCGGTGTGTGTGCCAATTCAGACTTCTGCTCCACTCACCTTGGCGGGTTTGGCTGTCAGAAAGTCATAGAACTCGACAAATAAAGGATTCTGGCACTCGCATATCCAGGGATTATCGCCCAGCCAGATCTGATCCAGAAACTTGTTCGATCGGAAATATACTGGTGGGATGGGATTGGTCAGTCGATTGCCATTCAAATGCAAGTCCGCCAGCTCTGGGAAGCCACGGAAACTGCTGTTCCGTATGGTGGATAGCCTGCAAGAAGAACACGAAATATAAAACATAAATTTGCACTGTTGAAAACCTCACCTGCAGTTGGCTAGATTCAGCTGTTGCAGCGTTTCCGAGCGCATCAGATTGGGTATATCGCTGATCAGATTATGGGACAAGTCCAGCTTCTGTATGGCCGACAGGCCGGAGAGCGCGTTGCCTTCGATGTAGCTTATTTCACACCAGCTCATGTTGATCAGACGCACCGAATTGGACACAATCTTCGTCAGCTTCTGTATGATGTTGCGGCTTAGGTTCAGCTCTAGGAGCACATCGTTTCCGATGATAAGATTGCGATCGAGGTAGGCGATCTCGTTGTAGGCCAAGTTCAGGTGCTTTAGCCGCTTCAGCTGACTAAATGCCTCATTTCCTATCAGGCGCAGCACATTCTTGGACAGATCCACCAGTTCCAGCATGGTATTGTTGGCAAAACTTTGCTGATCCACCGTTCGCAGCAGATTGCCGCTCAGGCTAACCTCGACGAGCGCCGGCAATCCACTCAAATCGATCTGGTCCAGATTACAGTAGGAAACATCGAGGCGGCGCAACTCAAAGGACACAATCAGATCCTCCTCCGCGCTGCCAAACTGCAGGGCAGTATTGTGCGACAAATCAAGCACCTCCAGGCTGGGTAGAGCCTCAATAAAGGCCGAGCTCAGGCGCTGCAGGCTGCAGTTGCTCATGTCCAGCTCCCGCAGGCTGCGCGACGGCAGACGCAGCAGCTGTCCAAGCTGATTGTTGGCCAGGGAGAGACGCTGCAGATTGGGCAGCTGATTGACCAAAAGATCGCCACCAACAGAGCTGATTTGCGCCATGGACAGATCCAGTTCGGTGAGCGACTGACTGTTGAGCTGTTGGCTGGCATCGTCTCCGCCAAAGCTGCCCAGCCGATTGCCCCGCAGGCTGAGCTGCTTTAGACTCGGCGCATACTTGAAGGCCTCATGGGGATGGATTTGCTGCCAGCCTACGATCGAGTTGTTGGCCAGCAGCAGAGTGCGGAGCGATACGAAACCGATCAGCGCATCTGCCGCCAGGCTGGCTATATGGTTATCCGATAGATCCAGATACAGCAGCGAATCAATATCGGCATATTGTTGTGGAAATTCCACAAAATTGTTGCCCGACAGATCCAAATGCTCGACGGGCAAACTATCAAAGTCGGGATAGTTGCGCAGACCGCGTCGCGAGCAGTTCGCATAAAGACTGTCGATCACCCAGTTGCATTTGCACGCAGACGGGCAGTCCACGGCGGCGGCAGCAACCACCATAAACATCAGCAGGACCAGGAGCAGCGGCTGCATTTGATGTGGTGCCATGCCTGCAAAGCAAGAGAGGAGCAACAAGTAAATAAATGTAGTGCAATCAGCTGTGGGGTCCCCTTCCACAATTGATAGTCTGTTTATTGCGCATGCATTTTATTCAGGTCTTATCGTTATCAGAGCGAGTAGCCAATTGGCGAGAGGGCTCGACTGCCAAATGCCCTGCACAAATTTTATATGGTATGTACATTATTTTGAGCTATAAAAATTGCCTTCTTTCATATGTTGTGTATTTATTGTGCGATCGCTATGAAATTGTTTGGGCTTGAAAGAATCTATTCAAGTGTGAGAATATAGCAAAAATTTTACAGCTAAAAAGGCATGTCAAAAAAATCTGTTTAGCTCTTATGGACAGTCCGTTCGTCGTCTGATTAACAACATTTATACAGTATACATATATGCTGCCTTAAACAAAATAACGATATGGTTAAGGAAGGGAGGATCTATGCAAGTTTGGGTATATAGCAAAAATTGTAAAAATAAAATGCATGACAAAATGAAATATATATATAAAGCATATTGCTTTAGCTTTTATAGAGCGTCCGTCCGTCGTCTAACTCCTTTCTACCCGTTACGCAAAATGACGATCCCCCCTTCACTTTGCGTACAGGGTATCACATAAAAAGCGGCCACAATCGAGCGTTTTTTTTTACATATATTTGATTTTAGCTTATACGCATTTGGTAATTGCGTCGCTTTAGCCCGAATTCGCAGTTTTGGCTTATTAGTGACGTCACGCTACGAATTTATTCACCTGCTTGAAAAATTTGTAATGGCTTTTTCTAATCCCACAACGCTCAGAGCTTATCTTATCGATGCTCGGGATGGGGTAGGGTAAAAGCGTGTATATGAAATTGGAGCACCCCAAAACACGGAGCACTCGAGCAGCACATAAAAAAAAAAATACTATTGAATTTTATTTGCGATTTTTTTCTCGACTATTTCGAAACACTGAAACGCGTGATTTGTGTAAATTGCGGGCCTGAATAAAAGTCTACATTTTTTAGGGCTGCCAAACACTTGCTTTAGGACTTATTTTCTTTCTTTCTTATGTGCAATGTCTTCCCAATGTCGCCTAATACTGACTGAATGAAACAAATTACTCACCTGCCGCTACGGCGACCGTTTCATTTGTGATAAGATAAGACCCTGATAACGTTAGTGCGCGCTCAGTGTTGGTCAATGGCTGCAGCTCTCTCTCCCTCTCTCATGTTCGCCAAGTGTGTTGTAAAGCAACTAAAAA